ATATGAATAAAAATGTAATAATGAATTGCAAACTGTAGGCACCTACACAAAATTGTAAATCCACACAAAATCTCACTGCTCTTTTGAGATTAAAACTGCATCCATTATAATTATTGTTACTAACGACAATAATAATATTTGTACATATACATTTGGATTTTTGAAGAGGTGTTTTGATCAAAATATCATAAAATGCTAATAAATAAAATATTAATGATCATAATAATTCAAAAGGCAGATATTTCTTGTTAATGACATGACATTAATTCAACAGATATTTTAATTGTCTTTTTTTAATTATTTGTTTTTGTTAAAAACATTTTTCAATGATTTAGCATTAAACTTCATATCAACATTGTGTAAACGTTAAAACAGCAACTGACATTATTTCAATCATATTTCAACTTTGAAGGTTGGTCATGTGCCAACTAGACTGAAAAGAAAAGTCTGTACTGTTGGTTCAAAAAGAAAACTGAAGACAATATGCTAACTGAATGGATCTTTATTCTGAACATGTGTGTCATATGCTGCAAACACGATTTCTGGATTTTTCCATCAGAAACATGAATTTCAATTCTATCTTTCTTCACTGGGGCTATTTAATTATCTGTTACTAACCAACTGACCATTAAACTCTGGAGACAGGCAGCTGTTGCTAGGGGTTTGAGTTCTTCTACCCATCTCAAAGCCACTATAATCCCATTATTTTAATAGATAATTGGCTTTCTGTAACCCGTTCTTCATTTTGCACAGTGACCATTTTCTGGATATTTTGAACCATTTGTATAGATTTTGTTAAAACATTTGCTTTAAACATTACATTGTTCAAGATAACTTTCATTAACTCTACAATACATAAAACCACTTTACCAGCTAAATTACTTTATTTACGATGCCATAGAAATTTACAGAGCTACTGCACAAACGGAAGTTCAAACACAATATTCTGAAGATGGTGAAGTGCTTGTTTCTCTGGAGAATAAAGTCAATACTGTACTCACATAGATCCCAAACACACTGCCCAATCTGTTCCTATAGTACCTATTTGTGTACTATAGGGTCCAAGTCAGCCTATATAGGACTGATTATGTTTGCTCATTTCTTACCCAGAATGCTTATGTCTTACCCAAGAGGGCCCCATATTAGTGATGGGAAGTTCGGATAATTTTACTGACTCTCTCCTTTCATCAAAATTAACTAATCTTTATTCAAGTCTTCATGTTTATTTCAATCATTTAAGTGGCATTAAATATTTTACTTTTACCAGCCAAATTCCCCGAACACATCCACCTACGCAATCTTGATAATATTCCAAATTAGAAAATCATAATAATGCAGCCAAAGATAATTTATAGGCAACATACTATTTGGGAATGATTGTGTTTGCCCATGTTTTACCCATATGGTTTGACCAAGAGGGCCCCATATGTGTTTCCCCATTCAGAACCCATATAGAGGTTGCCTATGTGGGTACTACCTTGGGCCAGTGTAGGAAGCTTATATGGAACTGATTGTGTTTGCCCATGTTTTACCCATATGGTTTGACCAAGAACCATGTGGGGCCCACATATACATGTTGGCTGGGTGGTTCTCAACCTTTTTTACTCCAATGCCCCCCCCCCCATTCCAAATCAATACATATTTTGCAAAAAATTCACTGCAGATATTCTTTAAAACTTAAAAGTAGCTACTTAAAAGTAAGTAAACCTTAATTATACAGTAACTTTAACAAATAAGCACAAGTCAACCTGCCATACCAAACAAAACCACAGGGAGACGCCAAAGGACTGCATACACAGATCCATGCAGAATAACTAAACACACCAAAATACAAATGAAAAATGAAACCATCCTGAATGTGTGGAAACTCAGCAATCATAAGGCGGGTTGATGTCATCAGTGAATATAGTTCTTCTGTCAGAATGAGCGAATTTGAAGCGTTTGATGTCCATTTGTACATAACTGATCCTCAGAAACTTCTCCAAAACACGCTTCTTCAGCGAGCATCTGTTATAAAACACTTGCTGTACATTAATTTTGACAACTACGTGAATATACAGAACTGTGTTCAAGCAGAAATATGATGTTATAGCGATCAGTCTGCCATGAGTGCAGATAGGTTTGTTTGGCATCAATAAAAACGGACACACGTGCGCCTAGTGAATGTCTCCTGTATGTCACTATAATAGTCTTTACTGGGCGGCGCTAGGGGCTAGCACCCCCATACATAAAAAAGATCAAATAAAATAAAAACATTTGACTCACATGGATAACTCCTGCAATACAATATGTGACGTGATTTGCAGTCATTCGTAATGTCATAGCATTTTATTTAAAAAATGGATCGGTTCCTTGTGCCAAGCCTGCCCCCGACTAAAGATTTTTTTCTAGTCAATAGTCACAAGTTTATTTTAAGTTCTTTCCGCAGTAAAAAAAAATGCAAGGGATTGATCCATGTCATACTGTAAGCGTGATAATACTCCCAAACGCCTAAGCACTTGAAATGAGCCTATACAGAGATTTTATTATTCATATAAAAATAATCTATTCTGGACGCCGATACAGAGGACTACCAGACTACAGAGGCACACTGTGTGAACCTTTATATAGTTTAATGTGTATTATATTATATAATAAGCGGAAATGAATGGTTATACTGTTATGTTTGCTCACGATGTCTTCAGCTCAAAACACTGTTTACAAACATCAGCATGGATTCCGATCACGGAATGAATAAAGAAAAATTGCATTAATAACAGACTTATGTATGACACTTAGGCTACACCGTGCCCGGACGCGAGCAGTGAGACGCGTCGCGACGCGACAAAATACCTATTTGTTATATTCAATACTGTCTACACTGAATGCAACAGCAAACGCATCCAGTGTAGGAAATATCACTGATTATAATCAATGGGCTCTACTGTCTTTTTTGCTTTCGCTCGTGTCCTGTGTAGACACAGTGGCATGCTAATCACTTTCACACCAAATATAGGGTACAACGGGGCTAAAGGCACTCCGGGGTAAAAGGCGCCTTTGATATTATTTTCATCTATACCACTAGACGGCACAAAAACGTGGCGTTGCACTTTCCAAAACATTCGCTTTTCAAGATGCACGTGTATATCTGTCTGATCTTTGACGCGATCGCGCGCAGCAGTGCAAAGTTGATTCTGTGCTTACGATCTAATATTTGATGTTTTTTTTTTAATGTTGTAGATTTAAGTAGCAGATGAGAATGGCTAAAATTAATGCATATGTTCTGAGACAAAGGTCTTCTTTATGGTTTTCAGTTTTGTTTAAGGTAATTAAAGCAACAGTTTTTAAATAACGAAAGAATATGTAAAAGTATGGTATTTGGGGTAAAAAGCGCCCCTGCTGTTGGGGCTAAAGGCACAGTAATTAACATGATAATTAATAGATGGCTGACTTTTCCATTTGTTGACATAACATGGTTAGATTCAGATGGTAAATATCATATATTATGTTGGGTGTCCATACTAGAGATAATCACCATGTTTAGAATGAAACCATCATATTTAAAAACATGATATTAATCATATCATATAATAAAATATAATTTGTTGTTACTACTGTAAATATATATTCAATTATTTTTGGATCTCCTTCAATACTTTCAGAATCTTTACTTATTAAAATTATTTTGTTTCTGTATTTTAAAATTTTATTTGTTTATATTTTTATGAACATATTTTAATGACAGTATATTTATTGAACAAAAATTAATTCTTTTATTTTTCAAAATAAGCAGAAAATAGTACAAACTTTGCTAAAATGATTGTTTAGAACATGATTGTTTATTAACTTTAAAAAATGTAAAAATTAGCTGAAGTATTTGTATCAATACCGTATGCCTTTTACCCCATTACCCCATGTGTGGGGGAAAAGGCCCCTCATACATTTATGAGATTTTTAATCAAAATAAACAACTTAAATGATTTATTTTCACACTAAATCTGTTGCTCCATTAATGTTCAATACAACGTATATATTTTTTCTGCAATTATACATTTTAGGCGCAGTGAATAGCACATTTTTTCTTAAGGTGGGCCTTTAGCCCCGTTGTACCCTACTTTAAAACAAACTCCAGAGACCGCTTAGACAAATGTTTCACATGCTGAGAATGCTAACCTAACATATAAGTAGGCTATATAAACTAATATAAGATGGTCAGCTATATAAACCATAAATGTTTAAGAATCACTTGGGCTACCTCTGGGCGATTCATGATCAGGTAGATCTTGAACTGCACGCTCGTGCCAGAAAACTACTAATTGGCCAAAATGCTTCTTTTTGGAGATCATCTATTCTTCCCTGTGGATTACCTCTGACCTACTTTCTGTACGATCTAAATTTCTGCGTATTGAATTTTAGAATATTGAATTTGATGTTTCGAATTTCCTCTTCATCTTGAAAACTTGAAGCTGTATTTTTAAAAACGGGATATTTGTAGTCTAAGATTTCAGAACCAAAAAAAATGCTGTTTGAAAATACATGTCTATAAAACTCATAAAAACCATAAAAACATTCAGTTGTGTTAAATTTCAAATGTTTAATATTTAAAAAAAAATCAAATTCAGAGCTATGTTAAATGCCACATAATATTCAGTTTTGTTAAATGACACTTGTCAATAATTCAAATGTAGCCTACACAATACAAATTCAATTCGTTTTGTCATATTATAAGCTCCATAACTTGTGAGCTGGATTTCCGAAAGCGCAGTCGGACCAGCCTCTCTCTAATTTTATCATTGGTTGAACAGAGGGTTACGTCACTACGTGTTGCGTCCTGAACGAGTTCATAAGCGCGCCCCCATTAATGGTAACGCACAGACGGTCAGCGTTCATTTCCACTGTCTAAAGGGATTTATGCTTGACTGTAAACATCAACTTTACAAAAAATGTAAATCTTCTTAAAATAATGTGACATCTCTTTGTTTCCTTGGACTTGTAGAGTGACAATCTGAGACTTAAGGAAAATGATTCGCACATTTGTTTTGCTCTTTTTGTTGTATCTGGTTGGTAAGTTATAAATATAAGTTATACATATATTTTGATGACAATAGTTTTATTACAAAGTTATAATGTACTAAAGATTTCTTAAGAAGATTTACATTATATAAATATTTAAGTCGTTTGATCTTTTTCTGCAGGTGCGTTTGATGATGTTGAGTCACATGATGTGGAGTCAGTATCAGTGATGGAGGGAGAATCTGTCACTCTACACACTGATGTTACTGAAATACAGAGAGATGATGAAATCGAGTGGAGATTTAACAGCATTCGCATAGCTAAAGCAAATATTCCTGAATATGGAAATTATGAGAGATTCAGAGACAGACTAAAGCTGGACAGAACTGGTTCTCTGACCATCAAGAACACCAGAACCACAGACTCTGGGGACTATAAAGTTAGTACCATTATCAATAATATTGAGACAACCAAGAGATTCAGTGTTACTGTTTATGGTGAGTATAGAGAGTATGCCCTTTTCATATTGAACATGATATCGTTCTCTAATTATTCATATTTCAAAATGGTTCTTATATTTGAATTTGAAATGATATTTACAGATACTTTTCAAGCTGTTCTCCACTTTACAGTTAAACCATATTGATGCATAGTTTATTTAAACTGGAATGTGCATCAGCAAGACAAGTATTCTTTAATAGGCTACACTGATTTTTAAAACAATTAATTTATAAAACAGTAATTTATATATGACTCCCAGTGTTCATCTGATTAAAAAATGAAGCCAGGACTGAGGTGTATTTAAAAGATTGCAGATTTTATAAATGGGTTTAATGTCGTAGAAAATCGCGTAGAATATGATGGCCACAAACTCTTCAAACTATGATTCCATCCAGTCAAAGGGTATCAAACATGATTACTATTTTGAGCCGATTTTAGAACACGTCTCCTTCAAGGCGCACGTTTCTGCGTGAGTTTGTTGTGATTAGAAATAGTGATGGGAGAAACGAAGCTTTTCGAAGCATTGAATCAATTGAACCAATTGTTTCGAAAAATGATTCGATGTTTCGAAGCGCTTGAAACAGCACATGCTGGCGACACCTGCTGGTGAAAATGTTGTAAAAGCATCAAGAACTCGGACCAAACTTACAAAACAAATGGAAATGTTTTTTTTTTTAGAAATACCATTTTTTTATATAAATAATAAACATTTAAATAATATTAAATATTAGTGCTTGTGTTATGTGTTTTATTTAAATAGGCTATAATCAAACCCTTAAAGGCACAATATGTAATATGTAAAGAATCAAAGGCATAGTTGCTGTGACTGAGTGTGGAATCATGGGAGTTGTGGTCTTCATCTCCACAGCCGATGCAATCCGATAGGACTCGGGCAGAAATCATGTTCATGGATGAGCTAATGATTTATTAACGTAGTAGAATAAAGCAGGATGAGGCTGAAAGCCTTCGAAGCGAAACGAGGCCGCTGAACGAGTGTGACACACGGCTCGAAAGCAGCGGAGCTTTTATTATGCCACAGTCAACCGCTTCCGCTCCTTCAGGTCGTGCGTATGTGAAAAAAAAAAGCAGCACTGTTTTATCATACAAGATACGTTTGAAAGTTCTGTTATAATGCTACTTTGTGCGGTCGTCACCGTTCTAATAAAACGCACAACATATTAAAGCGTCTTCAAAAACATGTCACTAGTTTAAATTGCATATTTCTCTGGATTTAAACATTCTTCGAAACATTAGGGATAATGTAAGTACACAAGTTAGCAAAATATATAACGCTGTTCTAGTGGTTTTTGGATATTTTAATAAAATATTCTTACATATTGTGCCTTCACACAATGAACTAAATTAATTATTTGATTAATTGATTGATTTATGTAATTATTTAATTGGTAACACTTTACAATAAGGTTCATTAGTTAAACATTAGTTAATGTATTAACTAACATGAACTAACCATGAGCAATACATTTGTTACTGTATTTACTAATCTACGCTAACGTTAGTTAATAAAAATACAGATGTTCACTGTTAGTTCATGTTAGTTCACAGTGCATTAACTAATGTTAACAAGATTTTAATAATGTATTAGTAAATGTTGAAATTAACATTAACAAAGATTAATAAACGCTGTATAAGTGCAGTTCATTATTAGTTCATGTTAACTAATGTAGCTAACTAATGAACCTTATTGTAAAGTGTTACCATTTAATTAAGGGTTTTTATTAGAGCTGTCTATAAAAAACCAGCAGGCAAGAGTAGTGTTACCAGTCAGAAGAAGAAGGTGGATTTAATTTTATCCTATGCTCATTTTGTTATTTTTAAGGTATGATGTGATTTGTAGGTTGAAAGTACTGAATGCTTTTGCACATTTTTAAACTATATAGCCATCTGTGTTAAAGGGAAGTTATCTTTTGTTTAACCCACAACATCTGGCCCTGAATTCTTTTTTTATATATATATAGTAAAATTTCGTGGGATTTCATGTCACATGATTAACTGGGCAACCAGAAGTGGTTCAACAGCTGTGTCCTCATCAACGCTCCTGCAGTCGCTCTGAAAAAGCTGCACCTGCTGAGTCAGCCGGCTGCTCTCGAAACGATATCGCGGTACTTTGATGCCCCACGTGACAGTGACGTGGCGTCGGCTCCGGTTCAAGTCGGACAAAATTTCTAACCGGCATGCACTGCTTCAAGTCAGCCGCCGATCGGTTTGCGCGGCGCCGCATGAAGTCGAACGCACCTATAGATTGTATAAAACATGGACATAGTGTCCGTGACGTCACCCATGGGTTCCTGAAGAGCATTTTTTGAAGCTTCGTGAAGCAGTGTTTCGAACGCGCCCATCACTAATTGGAACGACTTTAAAGTCTGGTAGTGTGATCTTCAGTCATTTAGCCTATGATGCCCAGGTTTCCAGTATATTGCAGTCTTTGTCACAGTGACTTTTATTTCTTTAGAATAATATAAATACATCAAAATGTATAAAATAATATTTTATTTCTGTAAAATACAATATACGATAAAGAATCAGGTGCGTGCAGTAATGGGAGACGGCAGTTTTGTACGTGCTAGTCTTTGTTTTGACCACCAGACGGCTGCAAACAACATGCACTGTATTGAAAAGCTTTGTGTAATGAACCCCTTTACAATACAGCTGAGACGAAGTTTCATTTAACCTTCGCTAGTCTCCTTACTTGGGAGACACCCAGTCACGGAGAGCTATTACTACACTATATAGAAGTGGATGAGTTATTTCAGTGTGTTAAATAATGGAGTCGTACAAAATATGCAGTTCTGGGAGGCTCCTGGAATATTTATTTACCGGTGAATAGTTTGAAAGCTCCTGCATTAGATAGTACTTACATGGCTGCCCTGAGGTGTTAGATGGCCACCAAATGGACTGAAACACTCAGTGAATGATTCCACATTCAACAAACTCAAGGAATGATGTCACAGTAAAATGTCATTCAACAACACTTTAAAACACTAACAAATAAAAGTCTTGTGACTATTTATTTCCTTTTGTTATTTAATGTTTTGCAGCTCCACTATCCATTCCTGCCATTACCAGTGACATTTCACAATGTTGCTCATCAGCAGAAAGTTCATCAAGCCCAAAAAGTGTGCTGCTGTGTTCAGTGGTGAATGTGAGTCATGTGACTCTCTCCTGGTACAAAGGAAACAGTTTATTGTCCAGCATCAATGCACTGCAAAAAATGGTATGATCAATAAGTCAAGACAGCATACGTTTTTACATTAACTCATCAGAATATGTTAAGAAATTTTCATCTTTTTAAAATAAGTTATACAAGATTCGGCTCATATTTTTAAGTCAGTTTAATGTAATTCAAGTTGAAATGACTTATACAGCCAAGTTGATCATTTAAGGCAGCAACATTTTTTACAGTGTGTGTCTGATCTCAGCATCAGTCTCTCTCTACATCTGGAGGTGGAATATCAGGATAACAACACCTACAGCTGCGTGGTGAGCAATCCCATCAGCAACCAGACCAGACATTTCTGCATTACCGATCTCTGTCGTTTGGGTTTTGGTATGTTAGCAGTCATTTACCGTTTATTTACTGAATCAATCTCTTTCACATTCAGATAATATTAATGTGTATTTACTGAGTTGGAAAATGTTGTTTCTGAGCTTAAGTTCCCTCTTTAGATGAAGTCCATTATTGTAAAAGCACTGAAGCTGTGATCCGATTGGTCGTCACTGCTCTGGTGGGTCTGGCTGCTGCGGCTGCGTTCTTTGTGCTGGTTTATGACATCAGATCCAGAAGAGTTGAACAGGAGAGACATCAGGCCCTCAATGATGGATCAGATATTCTAAAACAAGAATAATCTGTGCTTTTGATACTTTCTCTTTGTTTTTGTTTTTTTGAAAAATGCAGTAAAAGATACATAATATTTTCCCTTTTTGTGAGCATCTGATATTTTGATTAAATAAAAAACCTATGAATTGTGAATTGAGTTGTAATAAAGTCCAATGAGCCATTATAAAATAATACTGCCTCACTAAATTTTCAAAATACCCCAGCAACAAAACCATTTGGCAATATTGTAAATGTTAATACTTTTATGATATGCGTATGTATATAAATGTGAATGTTTATTATTTCCTTTTTATTTACTGTGGATTAAATTTGTTTTTTCACTTTTGTTTTCAAAATAAATGAGTTTTATTTTGAGTCAGCATTCATTATTCACGGTTAACATTACTGCACAAGAAAACAAAATACACTGTACATATTTGTTTGCACATAGTTTGGGAAGGTCCTATTCTTGTCCAAAAATGACAGTGCCATGTGTGCACAAAGTGAGATTCATACAGATGGAGTTTCTGAATATGGAGTGGGAAAACTTGACTGACCTCCACAAAGTCCAGACCAGGGCACTTTACTATCCCATGAGGCCATGAAAGAAGAGGTTTAATTTTAATAAATGGCTGGGAACAGCAATTTCTGACAAAGTTAGGATACACGGCTGCAATTTATGTGGAAATCAAAGTGGCTGTTTAGGGCACTGCAATGTCGTAAATCCTACTAATTAAACTTCTTTGGGGATTTGGTTGAGTGATCTCAGGTTACTGGAAAAATAAATATAATTTTTGACTTACAAGATGCAGTAGTTATTATTTTTATTACTATTATTATTATTATTATCATGATTATTATTATCACATTACATATTCATAAATGGTGAAAATGAAAATTGAGAGAAAAGTTTCATGCATTTTAAAAGTTCAAACAGATTTTAAGAAACAAAAAGCATTTGTCCACTAGAGGGCAGAAAAGATCAGACAGTCAGAATAGTGTTGCTCTTAAATGCAGGAAATCTTTCTCTCAATTTTCATTTTCTCAACTCACATCATATATGAATGTGTAATGTGATGATAATGATGATAATAATAATGCTTACTTATAATACTTATAATAATATTAAACTGGTGTATCTGAATGAGCAAACATGATGTGATATTGATCAGGATCCGTCACACTGGCATTAGAGTTGTAGTCTGTTCAGAAGTTTGAAACATGAAGGTAGAGCTGCCATTTAAACAGATGACTGGTTTATAAATGGCCATGAGTACAATGATTGCTAAACTGCTCTGTGATCCTAGTCCAGGCATGACCTATTCATAGCTAGCTGTAGGGATCTGTGCCAAATGATTGAAGGATAGATTCATTATTATTCATAATGAAAAGCACAACAACAACGATAAAACAGTACATTGACATATAGCTTATAAAACATATATTATCAAAACTGCATAAGACGAGGCATGTGTAACTGTGGCCTAATCAGTTTCACATGGACACCCTAAAATACCTAAGAATACAAACACCCCCCTCCCCAATGGCAGGCTTCCAACTGAATGATAAATGAAAAGCAAAGACGTAATGCCACCAAATCACAGATTTATTTCTCTATAGTCAATACTAAAACACATTAAGCTCAACAACAGAAACAGAACTACCCTGAAATGTCAACAATTAACTTGAAACAAAGCCAGACACTCATAAACATTACTAGTTGGGGTGGTTGAAATACCTTATGTTACTTTTTATCCCAAACTCACTATACTGAATAGCTCAGAAAGTCACTTTATTAATCCAGGAGAAATAAAAGAGGGAAATTCACATCCACATGAAAGAATACAAACAACACAATACAATACAAACAAAACCAGACAAAGAGTATGAAAATATGTTTTTTTTCCAATGGCCAAATAGATGTTTATAAAAGTTCACACTGTTGTTGCAGATGAAATATAACACAGACAACATTAAACTTGTTTATTTCAGGTTAGATGTTGATTATTAGTAACTCAAAACCCTTTATCTAAAACTCTCTACTTAACAGTTGGTAACGCCCATCTCCCATGTTTGTAGTTTTTCTTTAAAGCTTTTTATTATTAGTAGACCATCTAGGTACTTTTGGCATACTCTTTTCAACATACTATGCTTTAGGACACACTAATTCTATTTAGGATGGATAGTATAAACATTGGGACACAGGGTGAGATCTCACCTGTGTTTATATAGGTAGGTAATGGCTTAACATACTCACCACGAGAGCCACACACTGTTCTTAAGGGACCATCCTACTACATGTGGCACATCACATACTGTATTTAGTGACTAATAAATTACACAAAGTGTTAAATTAGCAAACACTGCCTGTGCAACATCAGTTAAACAGCACAAGTCAACAGGCTTTTCAAAAAGAAAACAAAAAATGAAAGCTAAATTTGTTGGTAGCAGTGTTTGCAGGTTTGCAAGTTTGTTTTGTGCCAATAAAACCATATATTCATCTTCTCTTGTTTAAGAAGTAATCTTTCACTTTACGTTTACATTTTGCTTGAAAACAAAATCCTCTGCTATATTCATTGTGGGAGGCTATTTATTTATTTATTTTATTTTGTCCCACAGTGTTTGCTATCGTAACACTTTCAGTTAACAATTGTAGCATAGATGGTCCAACTAAACTAAAGAAATTGTATTTATATAAAAAAACAAAGCAACATTGGGGGCAGTACTGTGGTGGCCAAATAATCTAATCATTGTACAGCTGAACACCAAGTAATACTGGTAACACCAGCTATCCCAGAAAGCATACATGTTTGTTTGTCAAAGTCTTCGTTGGTGGTCTGACTGGGCCCGCCCATAGCTTGCCTGGGGCCCCTTCTCGTCTAGTGCTTTGGGCATGTGCCCGGTAGGCCTGTACTTTAATTTGTCCCTTTATGCAGTAGTAACTCAAACATTTCATCCCTCATGTTCCTTGACCTAGTTTCTGTTTTCCCTTAATTGTGTCATTATGTTCAGGTGTGTCTTGTCATTATCCTCATTTACTCTCCCTTATAAGTTGTAGTCAGTTCAGTGTGTCTTTGTTCGGTCTCGTCAAAGTGTACTTGTGCATTAAGCCTTCCTGTTGTGGATTACCGTGTGTGGATATAATAAAGACTTTTACTTTCAACTTCGTATGAGTTCATGCTACACGGAACTGTGACAGTCAGCAACAGAGACTAATTAATACTGGTTTGAACTGGAAAAATCTCACAAACTGACACCATCACACACACACTCACTCACACACAGTACACATCTCGACACTATTTAACCCATGATGTCCCACCTCCTGTTAACTTAAGATAGTTCAGATAAAAAAAGTTTCAGTAAGACTGCTAATTGGTTTAATGCCACTTCCATTTTATTTCAAACTTGAAAATATAAAAAAAATTGTTTTATTATTTCTAGTAATTTAGAGAGCTGCTCAAATGAAAATGATTTACCCAGTACTTTTATATTGTATGTGCTTATGGCATCTGGTTGGCAAGTATAAATGTTCTATACTTCTATATTTTCCATAGATATAGTTCTAAATTAATTCCATTATAAGCTATGTTTTTTGTTGTTTTTTTGTCATCTGGAAATTAGTCTATAGTGTTTCTATTTTAAGATGCATTTATTTCAGTGAGTTACTGAACATCTAGTTTTTATTTACTATCAGTTTCTTAAGCAATTTTTCCACTAACGCTTTTAATTTACCAAAATAAATGCTGCTGTACTGTACTTTATTTGTTCCTGTAATCCAAAGAGATCACATTTCTAATGTTTAATTCACTATTGTGTCAAATTAGTGGACAGCTGTAAAAATATAAAAAGCAACAGAAAGATAAACAACAGTTTAACTATAGATAAACAAGAGGAAATGACTCATTTATGTGAGCCATGAGCTTTCATCTGTGTTGAGTGACTGTTCCTTTTGATTCTCTTTAGTTGTCTTTGGTGATACTGATGAAGTGAAGTCAATGTCAGTGATGGAGGGACAATCTGTCACTCTTCTTAATGATGTTGCTGAACTACACAAAGATGATGAGATTGAGTGGAGATTTAATAGCACTCGCATAGCTAAAGCAAAAATTCCTGAATATGAAAATGATGGGAGATTCAGAGACAGACTGAAGCTGGATCATCAGACTGGATCTCTGACCATCACAAACACCAGAACCACAGACTCTGGAGATTATAAACTAAGCATCATTGCTGGGAATAAGGAGATAACCAAGAGATTCAATGTTACTGTTCATGGTGAGTAGAGAATTACAGTTCCATTTTTCCTGTCTTCCTTTTATTCACAATGTAAACAGTACTTATTTTTCATAACTCTTTCAGGATGCTATATTTGAAATCACACTTAAATATATTTCATATATATTTTTAAATGTATTCTAACATTTCCAGACCAACAAAATTACCCCAAATGTTGACCCAACTAGTCAAACACAGTTGACTGAACAAAGCATTTAATATTGTTGAAATGTTAATTAAGGCTTTGTGAGTTCCCAGCATGCATTGCAGCAAGAATAAATTATGCAGTTACTGTTATAGGATATTTTTTTTGCTGTTTGCGGACTTCATTTAAAAAAATGTTGTTGTTGTTTTATCATTATTGTTAGTTATTTGTTGTACTGTGATGTAAAGAGCTCCTCTTTTTAACATTTGTTGGTTGTCACCACTCTTGAGGTTAGTGTGTCTTGTTTTGAGGCCTAGAGTATGTTCATATTTTAGAGCCTGTATTTTGGATCTTAATTTTGGAAATTGTTTAACAAGCAAAGACAATATTGTCTACTTATTGGACCAAGTTGACCATTAACATATGTTGTTCATAAGCAAACAAAAACTCCATAATGTGATGACTATTAACACATTGTTTTTTCATCCAGGCAACAGAAAAAAATGTATTACCCCAATGACAGTAATTGTTTTATCAGTTGCTGTGACAAGAATTTTTCTATTAGCAAAATAAGACAATCAGCATTGCATGATCAAACTAATTTACATTGACTAAACAAAGTATCTTTACTGAGCAGAACTAAAGAAACTATTGTTGAGAGAACTCAAAAGTCTTACTGCATCAAGTTGCCGTATTATTTTAAGTTTTCTCAAATATTTATTTCTTAGTGTGCATGCAAAGTTTCAACGCTGATTTGTTATGAGATGTGCATACAGAAATTTTATACAATCTTACTGTTCGTGGGTCAATTTGAGCTATTCAAAAGCAACTGTACAGACCCAAAATACAAAACACTTCTGTGTTGTATGTGAGAGCTCTTCAACTGTAGTCCTGAAGTGACAGTGCCTTGCTTAGTTTAAAAGTTTGTTTACCTGTTAACTGTCTGTCCCACTTTTTGAGCATAGACTTGAAAAGGACTTTTCCAACTTAATTGTTAAAAAATATTGAATACTTCAGAGCACAGACTTAAATTTGGTATCTTTTTTAAAGGGAACACTTCACAGATTATTGTAGTAGTAAAAGTTGATGAAAATGTAAAATATATAAAAAGTATATTTTTATATTTTATATCAAATATATATTTTGCGAAACAAAGTTGCAAAGACTAAAGTCTCAAATCCAAAGAGATATTCTTTATATGCTTTCACCGTGGACGAAGCGGAGTCCAGCCCGGGGTCATCACATGTGGTTGCCGCAAGCCCGCCAGCCGCTCCTTTGTCGAATCCGCTGGCTGTGCCGTTCTCAAGTCCGCCCGCCTCTGCTCACTCAAGCTGGCCTCCACTCACTCTAGGCCGCGGCTCACTCTAGGCCTCCGGCCTCCGCTCACTCAAGGCCGCGGTGTGTGACGCTGTTTCGTTGTGAAAGCGAAACTACTTTGTTTGGCTTTCCAAAAGAGGACACGACTAGAAATCAGTGGTTAAGTTGTATTTACAACACTGTTTTAGAACAGTTCAACCCAAATATTCAGATGTGTCCAGCGCATTTTATGGAGGACTGTTTACTGATCCTGGGAGAGTAGACTATAATGCCGGCTGTTCTGACTCACAGACTGTAAGTACGTTTTTTATATTTAAAGGATTTGCCACTGATGATTCAAACGCAAGTTTTGAGCAGTGTAGAGTAGCGCTTGTTGTTTGTCATTTCTCCGATCACAAATGCAGACATGGTTTTGTTTACGAGGCGCGATGCAACACAACACGTAAAAAGACAGTATAAGTCATTATAATCCGCAATTATGTCCCAACTGGATGCAACAAATGCCTCGTTTGTAATGGGTTTTAATGTTTTTGTCTCGTTGCTCCGGCCGGGACAAGGCATCACGATATGGTAAGGGGTGTAACATTTCCATCTCACGCTTGAAGTATTCGGCCAATCACAATGCACTGGATAGCTGGCCAATCAGAGCACACCTCGCTTTTCAGACCGATGAGCTTTGTAAAAATGTACGCATTTCAGAAAGGCGGAGCATAGAGGAGAAACAATAATGTACAGTATGTGGAAAATAATGTTTTTTGAACCTTAAACAGCATAAACACATTTCATTACACCAAATACACAAAATAATGTTATTTTTAGCAACATCATATGACCCCTTTAAGTTCTAACTACATTAGATTTTGTGTCTTTTATTTTGTAGCTGGACATATATTTTTTTATTTTATTTCATTAGGAGTGAAAATCAGGACTGTCAGTATCAGCACTGATGTGACTGACTGACATCACAATAATTTCACAATAAATGACAATCTCTCATTCAAAACTTAACAAGACTGACAAATAGATTATGTTGATGTTATTCACATCTCTGTGGTTTTCTAATATTTTCCAGTTCGTCCGTCCACTCCTACCATCACTCCACAAAATCCTTCATCATCTGAAAGTGCTCCAGGTAATGACAGATGTTCAGATCAACAGCACAGTTGTGTGGGTGATATTGCTTTTACAACACAACAATTAAATACATAAACAAGAAATATGTGTTGTTACAAATAAGGCCTGTTATTTTGCCTGTTTTCTCTGCTAAAAAATTCTTAACAAAGCCAAAGCATGCAATCTCTTTACACTTTCTGAACAAACACATTTAAGCCATACACATGTTAAAGAGGCCCATGCTGGTCAGACTAGTCTCAGAAGGTCATTGAACTGACTGCAGGCATCTGAGACTAAAATCAGATTGTCTCTCCTTAGCTGTTACAGCATCAGGCGCACAAACTCCTTCTCATTCTCCAGACTCTGTACCTCTGATTGTGCTGATCTCTGCTGCTGCTGGATTTCTGTTGATTGTAGCGGCAGTTGTGATCTTCTGGATCTGCAAGAAAAAAAGTAGAGCAGAACAAGAGGGCAAGTGTAACATACTGCTGATATATCTAACAGTTATATATAACAGTTTTTGCTCTTTTAACATCTGTCATTATTTTTTAAACAGATCAGACCCGTGGAGAAGAGATAACATACGCTGATCCAACATTCTACAAAAGAAATGCACAAAAAGCGGTAAGACAATACATTTTCAAGTTGACACTGTACAAATTACATTGTATCACTGAGGTGGAGGTTATATTTTAGTTTTATATAATTAGTTGTGTAAAGTTGCAACTTAATGTAAAAAACGGGGATGTGTAAATTAAAAGTAAAAAAAGAAATGTGAGTTCAGTTCCAAACCGTAGAGAGCTGCTTCACTGTCTACATAGACAACTGCCTTATAAGGCAACATCCTCAATCTTCATAGGCTGCAACACAGTTAACAGTCACTCACACTGCTACACAAATAGTCCTTGTCACATGGTTGATTCTGCAGAAATAAACACATTTGAATGCTTGAGTTTCATGTAAGACTAAAAGCTGAAGATAGTTCTGCTAATTTGAACGTGAGAAAAAGAGATTGAGATAGAAGAAACACTCAGGGGTGTGTTTCCCCAAAGCACTGTTAAGCCAACTATCCTTTATGAAAATTAACCATGGTTTTATTGTAGTAAAAGTGTAGTTAACCATGTTTTTTTTAATTGATTACCATTTTTAAAACCACAGTTTAACTACAAAAACCATGGTTAGACTATGGTTAGTGTAGTAAAACCATGGGTGATTTTTGTAAGGGATGGTCATAAGTTCAGTTGTTATCAACAAAGTTAAACGATTGAGTGTTTCCTGAATCCATAGTTTAAACAAAGATTTACAAACAGCATCGCAAACTTACGAGTTTGGAACTGGAACCACAGCTCTCGACCTGTGGTTAGAAGCATAGTTACTTGTAAGACAGTAGTTCTCAAACTTTTTATACTAAGTACCACCTCAGAAAATATTTGGCTCTCAAAGTACCACCATAATGACCAACATTAAAATACAGTAGCGTAGTAGGCCTAACTATTCAGCTACAGCTCTGCACAGTTCAAAAATAAGGCAGTTTTATTCCCAATAAGAATGTTTATTGTAGTCAGCCACTTTAATATTCTAAATGCAACTTGTAATGAACTTGTAATGTTTGGACATTAACACTGCACTGTGCTTACAAACAGGTAAATAAAAAACTTAAATAATGATTAAATAAAAATGTGTTGTACTTAAAATTAATTAAAAAATTTACTGTACTTAAATCTAAAAAAAAAAAAAAAAAAAACTTTACTCCAAGATTAAATTATAATGTTAACCAACAAAAGATGTTAAATAAATGTACAAATGTTAAGTAAATCTACTGTATCTGAAAAATTAGTTTAATTTGTATCTCTTTAGTATTTGTCTTATTATGCTTCTTTTTCAAAATGTATAAATTATATATATTATCTATATTATATATGAACAACTATAATTTTTATAAGTTGCTCCCTTTTCACTACTGTTAAAGGGATAGTTCACCCAAAAATGAAATTTGTCATCATTTATTCAAGTTTTTCCATTCAATCCTTGATTCAAATTTCTCATAAGCTTAATTGATTTGGTCTAAAGAGAGAAGAATGAATGATTATTTTTGTTTGAAAACTACATATAAAATATCTACCAAAATAAATGTTGGTAACAGCAGTTTGACTAAAATAATGACTAAAAGTAATCACTAAAAGTTGACAAAAATGCAATGACTTTTCGTCGACTAAAACTAGACTAAAACGATGAAAGACTCAAATTACTAAAATGTGACAGACTATTAAGCATTTTCGTCTCAAGATAAAGACTAAGACTAAATAAAAAATGCCTGTCAAAATTAACACTGATTAAAAGGTATTGTGTTTTAAAGGGGTCATATGATGCTTTTTTAAAGATCATTATTTTGTGTATTTGGTTTAACAGAATATGTTGACATGCT